CCTCTCAGCAAAGTTTAGAAGGGCCAGCAACCAATTTGTACAGGTAATTGGTACCTGTGGCCGAGGGGTCGCAGGGTGTTTAGTGCAGAATTTCTTGCTGTGCACCCAGAGGGCTGCCCTCTTACTGACACGAACGGGATGTGGGTCGAGGAAAAGGGCTACCCCAGAGACTGGGGCTACCCCCTGACCGAGTAGGGAGAAGAGGAGCGGATGGTGGAGCTCGGTAGCTTAGCAGCAGCAAGAGGTGCCACCCTCTAGTGAGAGGCTGAGGCAAAGACCTCGTAGGATTGAGGTCACACCCTCAGTAGTAGTGGTACCAGTAGCAGAAGGCTTTACCTGTACAGTCGCCTCTGCTGCTCAAGATAGTGTAGTGGTACATAGCAGTACGGACTCCGGTCCCAAACACCAAGACGGTGGACTCGCAAACCAATCTCAACTCGGAAAAAAAAATTCGAACCTGGATTGGCTCAAGGCTCTCGGCTCGAGTGAGAAGGCAAGTGGTAGGCAGTTTTCAGGTAGGGTAGCTGCCTAGATGCCATGGAGCCCACCCTCTAAGAGGGATAGCCTGCTATCATAACCTCAGAGGTGAGCCGAGAGGGAAGGTGCATCCTTGGACTGGAGCGAACTACCAGGGCAGGGCACTTCCGCGATGCCCAGTCCCTGGAGCAGAGTTTCAGCGAGCGTGCCAAACAGGGATGCCTTCCATGGGCCTCGTGGCCAAGTGGCACCGAGGCAGCAGAGGTGCAGACCCTCTGACCCGAACAGATAGGGGCAAGTGCCGGCGGAGTATGCTTCGGGGGGACCGCAAGGCACGGTTAGTAAGAGAGTGAAAGCCGGAGCTGCGGACGAGCCGAGTCAACTGGTCTGTACAGCCTGTTGCTTGACTTGCAATCCCTGGAAAGCTGAGAGTTTGGGAGTCTGCAGTGGCGATTAGGGAACGTGATGCAGTGGCCAGTTGGCTGAAAGCACATGCCCCTTCTGGAAGCCTGCTACTTGTAACGGGCTATCGCCTACACTGGTGGCTGCTAACCAGTTCAACAATTGGCTTGAAGTGTGAGATAGATCTGGCGGGCTCTTTCGTGACTCACACAGCCAGAGGTTTTATCCTCTTAGAGATGAGTGGAAAAAGGCCATCCTGACCTTTGTCATGCTGGGGTATGCCCAGTCCTACCAAGCTTAGTGTCAGGAGTTTTTAGTTTGTCCACCTTGGCCTTGCCTGAGACTCATCTACAGTAAATCCACACCGACAGCAGTGCTTGAGAGTGGGATAGCTACCAGAGGCAAGATTCCGCTTTAGGCGCTGCTTGAGGTTTATGTTTATGGGTTTGGCTTCGGCTCGGCGTGTTTCCCCGCGCCAGTGCACTTTGTGCATGGGGGAATTGAGGGGAAAGCGTGGTCCCCGCGCCTTGTTGAGGGGAGGCGTCGACCCTGCGCCAAATATACCGAGTTGAGGGGTGCAGTGTCCCCAAACCTGTCGACATAAGCCTTGTCCAGGTGGCCCCATCCACCCTCGCACAGGGTAGCTTTCTAGAGGTGCCTTCTGGAACCCTCCACACAGAGACCTGGGGCGCCAGACACTTGGCAGTGTGGAGGTGGCATCCTCGGGCTGTGAATTGGCGGACTTCACTGCCCAGGGCCCACAGGGCTGCAGGCTGAGCAGATATGGCAGTACTTTCCCTCTCAGCTGAGCAGGCGGACAACCCTGTTAGATGGGCCAAGCAACCAATTTGTACAGGTAATTGGTGCCTGTGGCCGAGGGGTCGCAGGTTCAGTGCAGAATGTCTTGCTGTACACCAGAGGGCTGCCCTCTTACTGACACGAAAGGGATGAGGGTGGAGGAGGGACCCACAGATTGGGGCTGCCCTCTGACCGACTAGGGAAGAAGAGGAGTGGTTGGTGAAGCTTTGCAGCAAGAGGTGCCACCCTCTAGTGAGAGGCTGAGGCAAAGACCTCATAGGCTTGAGGTCCCACCCTCAGTAGTGGTACCAGTAGCGGAGAGCTTTTACCTGTACAGTCAGCCTCTGCTGCTCAAGTATTGTGGTAGTACATAGCAGTACGGACTCCGGTCCCAAACACCAAGACGGTGAACTCGCAAACCAATCACAACTCGGAAAAAAAAACTCGAACCTGGATTAGAACCCCGGCCTGGAACCAAAACAGGAGGGTCAGCCCTCCCAGGCTACTGCCTCTGGAAGAGAGATTGCGCAAGAAGGAGCCGAAGCCCAGCGCTGAGGAGGGCCAGCCTCCACAGGGAGCCCGGAAAAGGCCGGGGGAAAGGCGAGTACCTGCTCGAACGCAGGACCCCGGCACAAAGGTACATAGATGATTATACGTTGAACAGACAGAGAAACAGGCCGGGAAAGAAGGCCAGAGCCCAACAAAGACAGGCTGTGGCGGAGGCAGCCCAACGCCGCCCACGAACACCACCACCCTTCCCGGCGCGAAGGAGGTGCCGGAAATACATGGGGCCGCGAAGCCTGGGAGGGATGGCAGCACAATGGGCCTCCTGGTGGGAGAGCAACTCCCCTACCTTTAGGATCCACTTCGGGTCGTCGGCAATGTTGTAGGTGGCTCTTGAGCCGCCTCTCGCCAGGATAGAGAGGTGGCCTCGTTGGGTAGTTGGTCGATTGACCCCCTGCCCGTTTGTTTCAACCCCTCCTGCTCGGAGGATGGGGTTGGCACCTCCCTGACCTGAGGGCGCGTTGGGGCCTCCCAGTCGGAGGTTGGAGCCTGCGGTAGCATCCCAAAGAGGATGGTAGCATCCTCCTGTATCATAGGAGTGCCAGTACAGAGGGCACGGTTTTCACAACCCAAACACCAAGGAGGTGGTTCGCACCAGTTCGCTCAACTCGGAAAAAAATTCGAACCTGAGTTCGAACCTGGGTTGGAACCTGGGTTCCGAACCTGGGTTCCTGAGTTGTTGTTGTTCCCGCCCCCCCCCCCCCCCCCCCCCGACGGCTTTGAACCTGGGTTCAACCCGGGTTGGGCGGGACCATCCTCCAACGCAACCTCCTCTATGCGCCGTGACCTGGCTAACGCGCCAGGCAGCCAGAACACTCCAGCCTGGGGTCCTTTTCGGGTGGTCGGTTAAGGATACAGGATAGTTCTGGTTCGTGTGCCCACAGTGTGCCAGATGGTTCAGGGTCGGTTGCAGGTCGTTGGGGGTGTGCACACAGTGAGGCTTCTATATCCTTCGACGGTCACCTTTGGCATTGCTCCGAGCCTTTCCAGGGCGAGCGTTGGGTTCTGACGGCTTGCCCCGGATGTTAACGATGCCCTCCTGGCGCATTTCAATTTTCCTTTGCGCCCGCAGGCAGTTCTCGGGACGCTGCCACCAGTGGCAGCATCGCATGTTGGGCCTCAGCTACAGTGACACTCCGCCTGTGTCACAGCCAGACACGCCACGCTTTTTGCCACTCGCGGCTATCAATGGTGCGCTCCCAGCGTCGCCGTTGGCTGCGCATTTCAAACGCTTCAAGCTCCCGCCGTCGTTTGACCCAAGATTCACAGCGTGCCTTATCGCTCTTTGAGCACTGGCTTCACTACGGATGCCCCTTTCGCAACATGCGCCCACCTTTGCAAATCGATGTTGAGGCCCGAGCCGATGCGAGTGCAGCTGGTCAGTCGTGCATCACTCACGACCCTGGGTGACATTCCCCACGATTGTCTTCCTGGGCAGCGAGTCTTCTTTGACTTGCACTCGCTGTGGCAGCCTGTGCCACAACCAAATGTCTTTCCGGAGGCAAAAGACCTCCCTTGGTCCCTTTAGCTCGGTGCCACTCAGCCACGTCCTCACGTTGAATTTGGGGTTATCTGTAGCGAGTACGTGTGCGTGGGTTCTATTTGGTGAAAGTTATTATCATGCTACGTATTCTTACTGTTGCTGCAAGACGGATGTGGCATCTCATGCCACTCGAGCAAAAGGGGGAGCGCAGACAATGTGGCCTAGTACGGGGATGCATTTGGTAGCAGCACAACATTCAATGTAGAACGCGCGTGTCTCTGCTGCTAGTTCGTTGCTTCCAGTCCTCCTTCAACAACTTGTGCGCTGCGGAGGACCTGTGACCTACCATGGGCCTTAGGTGCATGCACCTGGATAGTGGCCTGCTCAGAACTGGAGTGGTCTGCGACCATTGCGGAGCTCTTTGGCATGTTTGTCGCTTCGACTTCGTCTACGTCTTCTTCCTGGACATTGGCGAACTGCTCGAGGACCACTTTGCCTCCTTCTACCTCTTCTTCGCCTACCTCTCCGTGGTGGACGGCGTGCTACGACTTCGCTGAGGCCGGACTTCGACCTCTTCTTCGGCTGCCTCTTCGTGGTGGGCGGCTGGCATCGTCATCGTCTACTACGACTTCGCTGGGGCCGCCGGTTTGGTCCTCTTCTTCGGCTACCTCTTCGTGGTGGCCGGCTGGCGTCGTCATCGTCTACGACTTCGCTGGGGCCGGTTTGGTCAGAGCTCCGTGGCTGTACAAATCAGCCCACCAGAACTGAACATGCGGCGAGCAGTGCAAAACAATGATCGCTGCGGTCTTGCCCAGTCAGCGGATGTCACAACAGTTTTTATCTCTTATCTTTTCGGAAAAATCAGAAAGCTCTTCTACCTCGACCTCGAAGCGTGACGCAGCCAACCTGCAAAGCACTGGTTGTGCTATCCGCGTTCTCAGGCCTCCTCAGTTGTAATAACCACTTTCTGGTTTTGGTATCCTCCAGCTGGTTGTGTTATCCTTTAATCTCGGGGTGTGCGGGGCGGGGTGGGGTGGGGGGTTGGGGGGTGGAGATGGTGAGTGCATTCTTTGTGCTGGGAAGGGGATGAGAGGTGGGCAGATGAAGCTTGTTTGGACTCATGTGTTGCGGATGCTTCTCGCGAGCATCAGGGGGCATAGGTTCCCTGACCTGTATTTGAAACTAGGAATTTGTCAATTGAATCGTTTCCGCAGTTTCCAAGCTGTAAGTAATCCCACCCTCGTGCAGCCAGCTTGGTTCAATCTGTGACGCAGCCATGCGCGACTTTACGCTTCCGTTCAAGCCCGAGGCCTGCCTGCTGCTTGGGAATGTTCTTGTGCAGCTTGAATCTCAGATGCTCTCACGTTTGAACTGGTTTAAGTAAGCAGCTGGGACTTGCTGGCAACTGTAAGTGTGCCAAGCTGGTCCCCTGAGCCTTTCTTCTCCACAAGCCAGGAGCTGCTGGCAGAGCCCAGCGATGGTCGGCTCTGGGCTTCGGATTTGCCAGCCGTGGAGAGCTGGTCTGACAAGGACAGAAGCTCAGGAATTTTGGGGTTGGGGGTTTGGAAGGGGGAGGGTGCAAAGCGGAATCAAGCAGGCTTCTTGTGGGGCCGTGGCACTTCACCGGCGATGCATCCTTTGTGTTGTGTGTGCGACAAAGTTCTGGAAGCGTGCGCTGGAAGCAGGGAATCTTTCGAAACCCTAAATCCTAAAGCGTGGCGTGGAACACATCCGAGAATCTCTGAGCACCCCTTGTGCAATACCGTTAGCCCATCCCTTCACCCAGATCCGGCTGTAAACCCCAAAGCCCCAGATGGTTAAGCCCCCGAAGTTCCTAAACAGGAAAACTTCTAAACGTCAGACCTTAGATCCTAAACCCAAAGCCTTAAACACAATCCCTAAACCGGAAAGCCTCTAAACGCCAGACCCTATGTCATAAACCCAAAGCCTTAAGCCACCTTAAGTCCTAAACCCAAAGCCTTACGAAACAGGAGCTGAATAAAGCGCTTGATGGCCTGGTCGGTCGGCTCCTGGCAAGTCAGGGCAAGGAGCTGTTCGGGTTCAGGGCTTAGGGCTTAGGGCTTAGGGTTTAGGGTTTAGGGTTTAGGGTTTCGGGTTTCGGGTTTCGGGTTTAGGGATGTGTAGAGCCCAGGGGATCTAAATTCAGGTTTCAACAAGGGGTTCGAGGGTTCCAAGTTCGTTGAGCTGGAGGTCCGAGGTTGGGGAACCCTTGTTAAGATCCCATGAGCCCTGGAGCCCGAAGCCGCAGGACCTTGCGGAGGAGTCCATGTTCTCCCTCCTTTTCGCCATCCTCCAAGCTTGGCCAAGGCGTCTACCTGGTTTAGGGCTTAGGGTTTAGGGCTTAGGATTCATAGGGTTTAGGATTTAGGGTGTAGGGTTTAGGGCTTAGGGTTGGGGTCCGGGTTGAGGGTTTAAGGTGTCGGGATGGGGTTCGAGAGGCTTTGGGGCTTCGGAGTGTTGAGAGGGCTCAGAGGGCTCAGGGCTTCTCTGCAGTACGTTCGATGCTTCCCTGAGCTGAACCCCCAAAGCCGTAAGCCTTCTCGGACCCTAAACTCCGACATTGGGAAGCTCCGGAAGGCTTGAAGACAACATCCCACCGCGAGTGCAGCGCTCAGTCCCTGCCAGGGGTGGCTCAGGGGCTCAGGAGTTTGGGTCTTCAAGATAAGGCCTTGCAACGAACTCTGGCGGTGCCCAGACCCAAAATGTGCATAAGGTACCACAAGGTCCGCTTGCTTACGGGTGGATGTAGCCCCTACGTGAGCAGTACCATAGCCCTCAACCCCCAAACCCCAAGCCGCAAACCTTAAACCCAAGAATCCCAATCCCTGAGCCCCAAGACCCTGAACCTTCACTACCCTTGGTGAGAACCAGTCTCGCCGCGTCTCACCTGGACGTTCATGGGTAGTTATAAGTGGGGTTATAGCACTTAGAACCCTACTTTAACTACCCATGAGCCTTCAAGCACCCTTCAACCCTCAAGCCCGAGGTCGTGGACTTGCTCACCGACTCAGCTCGGCGTCTCATCGCAGAGACCAGCCGACTGCGCAAGGGCACGAAGCCGGCCAAGGCGCGTGTTGTGGTTTGAGGTTTCGGGCGAAGGTTGGTTTTTTTGCATGGGGTTTGAATCGTTTCTTGAAAGGCTGCAGAAATATTTCGAAGGGATTCCAAGGGTGCTTGAATAGGCTCCTGGCTAGTGCTTGAATGAGAGTTAAGGAGTGCAGAGTGCACCCAGCTCTCTCTGAATCCCAAGTTTCCTCAGCGGTTGACGCCCTAAAGCCCTAAACTCTAAACCTTTCGTCGCAGGTGGACAAAGGCGTCGACGCCCAATCAAAGGAGCTTCGAAACGCATGCAAGGCCCAGGATCAGGGTTTGGGATTCTTTGGTTGTTCTGTGTGTCGTCAGGGTTGCAATCATCATCGTCATCGTCATCGTCATCGTCATGATGATGATGATGATGGTGGTCATCATCAGCATCATCATCATCATCATCATCATCATCATCATGACCACTGCGTTTCGGGGTGATTGTAGCCTCAGGTTTAGGGTTTTTGGCGGCTCTTTTCGGGACGGTGCTGTTTTGTTTCGGCTTGGAGTTTGGGACACGGAGGCCCGAAATCATGCACCCTGCTTGATGTCGCATGGGTAGTCGTCGTAAGCAGAGTTATACGTACCCTTCATTAAGATCATTGCCGTGACAGCTCTCTCCTATGTATAACCTCCTCCAACTGCCCATAACCTCCACGTACACCTCACACCCATAAAGCTATGAAGAAGCCAGGTAGCCGCCTTTTTCCTCCGTTGGACCACGGAGTACCTGATGCAGCAAGGCACATGTGGAGTGGAGTGGGAGGGGCCCAGTGGCTTGTTGAACGTAATTGAAGGCCGGCGCTGCCCTGAAGCCACAAAGGCAGGATTGACCTCTTTGACAGGCATATTTCCTTGCATCTAAAACGTCGAAGCCTGACACCCTAATGACACCCCAAGCTTCCAAGATTTGCATCGCAAGGAAAGGGTCCTTCATATACGTCTCGTGTGAAGCCTGAAGCTACAAACTCCGCGAACATCCACGAGCAGTTGCTCTCATCTTCTTAGGCGTCGCCGAAGCCCGCAAAGGCCGTGGCCGCGGTCGAGGTGTGAAGGCAATCCGGCATGGCAGTTCACAGGGTTGAATTGGGCCAGGAACTGCAGGCCTTGCTACTGGTATCTCGTGTCGCTGAAGCCTTGATGTGTTCAGGCTGGGACGGCCCTGCAGCAGGCGGGAAGCTGGCAAATCGGTGCAGCTGGAATTGAGGTGTTGATGTTTAGAAGTTCGTAGGAGAAAGGGGTGCTTGGAGTGGGCACCTTTGGGGCCAGCGAATCCTGGCCTCTCGAGTCTCCATGCGACTTCAGACGCCTTGGACTCTTCGCGATGGCATAAGCTTTGCCTTGCACCATAGAGGGTAGAAGGCCAGTTTGCTTCAATGAGGGTTGGCCTTGTGTGCAAGTTTTTCTTGACTCCGATTGCGTTTTCCACCCAGAAGTCTTTTGGAACCTCCTTGGACCCATAAATAGTAAGATAGTTGTGACTCGTAACCGTTGAAGTTTGGCTAAGGTTGCACGTAGACTTAGGCCCTGGGCCCCCTCTGAAGCACCATCATCAGCGGTGGAAGGGGAGGGCAGGTTGAGGTTCTAAGCCTCGGAACACCCCCAAAAGACCTACGACCTGAAGCCCCACATGGTGAAGGCAGAGCAGGCTGCCGCCGCAGAGGAGGCGAAAGAGGCACTGAAAGCCCAGGCACTGCAAGTGCCTGCAGAGGGGGGGGTTAGGTTTTGGGGCTTTAGTTGACTCAGGGATTAGGATTTCGGACTCTGGCACCTCTAGCTTTTTTTGTTTTTGAGGGCCTCGTGATGGAGGAGGCGGGGCGTCACGGCGTCAGGTTTACATGTCGGCAGGTTTGCCAGAGGCCCTTTCCTGACGATGTGTGCGATATTGGCACGCGTGTGAAAGAGTCCGGACATCACCCTAAACAAGCAGATTCCTCACCCCAGGATCCTCAACTCGAATGTCCGAGATGCGAAAAAGTTCCCCCAAACAGCAGCAGACGACAATCGAGTGAAGTCGGAGCCCTGAAAACTGCGACCCCCAATTGTGCCAACACCTCACGTCAGGAGCTCAGTGTTTGGACAGTTCCCCAAAACCCTCTAGCCATCCCGAGGAACCCCCTGCAGGAGCGCCAGCGGTGTGCCGTGCTCCAGGAACTTGCTGGCCTTGTAAACCGAGGACACCGGCGGATGGAAGGTTTAGGGCCTCTTCTCAGCGTAGCTCCTTATGGAAAGCTTCTTATGTGGTGTGGCTGAACATGCAAGACGGTGAGCCTTCACGCGATGGATTCAGCTCGTGCCAGCAATAGGGGGGCAAATTGTAAACCAGGCTCAAAAGTGTCCATGGATCTGTGGCAGTGCTGTTTGCCAGGATTTTAAGATACACTTCTTGGGTTTGAGGGAACAAAGCCTAGATCCCCGAAAGTCCTCCGGTGAACCCCTGACCGCATGGGCCTGACAGGGCCGACGCCCAAGCCCCGACTGTCTCAGCTCGAAAAAGCACTGCCAATCCCCCAAAATCCGAAGGAGCGATGCCTTGGCTGTGGCTCAGTGAGCCCGCCTCGTGGCAGCAGGCGGCCACGGCTGTTTCAGACGCGGGCTTCTACGTCTTCGATTCCGCGGAGGCCATGAGGAAGGGTCCGGTGCCGTGAAGCCATGAGGCCATGAGTCGGATGGCTGCCCCTTTCATGTGTCTTGAGTATGCCGCATTGAATTGCCCGGCTGTGTAGAAGAGGTTCTGTGAATGCATGTGCCAGGTATTCTCATGTGTGAGAGGCCCGATGTCCGAGTTTTCATAACATACAATGCCATCCTCTTGCGAAGCTCAGTGTGTGTGAGTGGACGTAGCTCGGCAGCCCTTCGTGCATGTGACCATAGCGAGGTTCTCAACCTGCCAGCGCTTTCGAAGGTTTCGAAAACATCCTGAAATGCCTAATCTCCCTGAACTCTAAATCCTAAGCCATGCAGCCAGGCTCTGAAGAGTCGCGAAACCCGGCAGACGGCCCTTCAGTGCATCGTGGCACCCCTTCTTCAGGACATCCGAGCGTTCTCTTTCGAAGCTCATAAAACTCACTACCGCCGCCATGAATCTCGAGCACAGCCATAAGAACAGCTGGCACAGGAGGGCCAGCAGCATTCCAACCTCTTGGTGGCCACCGTGTCCAAGCTCATCCATGGGCTGCGGGTGGCGGAAGGTGCGTGGTTTCCGCCTTTGGGAGGCTGTTCAGAGGTCTATGACGAGTGTGGTGTACAACAAGTGCGTTTAGACCTCACACAAATTCGCAAAAGGGTCGTCGTGTAATATTCCAGGCGTTGTTCGTGCAACACGGGCTGTGCATCTCTTCCGCGTGGTTGGGGGTAACGCAGCGCTGGCGATCTAAAGTCTGCTGCCTCGGCTCCTCATGGCACAGACTCGTGATGTGCCCAGGTTACGCGAAACCCTAAACCCTAAAACCCTAAACCCTAAACCCAAAATCCTAAACCCTTAGCCCTATCCTAGGTTGAGGGCTCGGGGTTTCCACGTGGGGCACTTGGGTGGCAGGGACTGCAGCCTTCACGGCAGAGTGTCTTCTCCATGCACACACCACACCATTGCCTCGGCCGCTTGGCGTTTAGGAGCGGACTTCAGGTTTGTTGTAAGAGTTTGCTGTAGGGGTTTGTGGATGCAGGGTTTTATGGTGCAGGTGGTTTCGCGGGGACAATGTTGGGAAGTGTGGGATGAATCGAAGCACCGGACACTGCACCCTAAATTTTCAACTCTGAACCATGCACCGAATAAACTTGAGCTTGTCGGCTTAGTGAGCCCGAAAGCCCCAAAGCTGTCGATCCGAGACTCTTCCTGGTCGAGCTGACTCAGTGGCCAGGCAGCAGGTGACACTTTCACTCTCGGAGAGGTTCCCACTGAGCTTCGGTGGCTTTTCAGGGCAGACATCGATCTCGAGCTCAGTTCGTGATGTCCTGAAGTCCCGAAAGTGTAGTCTGTTGAGCTGGGGGAAGCCCAAAATCAGCACGGTTCACTTCGAGGCACTGCGGCCAAGAGCTGACGGCCCAGGCTGGCAAGCGCCCAAAGCTTCGAAGTCGTTGATCATGGTTTAGGCTTGATGTTGTGGCTGTTTCCTGTGGGCTCCTCGATCTCGATGCACGGGTTCCGATGATAAGGCAGGTACCGGCACCTGTTGGGGCCGAAACCTTTACAGGCTTGTGATTGTTGACTACAAGGCCGCTACGCCACCCTGCAGCAAGCCGTGAGAAACCCTGAGCCCTAAACCCTAAACCCTAAACCCTAAACCCTAAACCCAAAACCCTAAGCCCTAACCCCCAAGCCCTAAACCCTAAACCCTAAACCCTAAACCCTAAACCCTCAACCCTAAACCCTAAACCCTAAACCCTAAACTACCCGAAGCCCCAAAGACCTTGGAGGGCGCGTTCCAGCGCTCCCTGGCGGCTTTTCTGGTGGCCCTGGCAGAGCGCCTCCCTCATGCCGCTCGCCTCCAGACCAGGGGGTTTAGGGTTTAGGGTTTGTTCAGGAGTTGAGTGGCAGACTCTAGGGCTTGAGGTATGAGAGGGTAGGTTGGGGGTGTGGGGGGTTTGGGCGTAATTTGGTGTCAGTGAGCGTTTTCCAGTGGTCTTTGGAATGTGGAATATGGAGTAGCTTCGGTTGTGGTCTTGGGCTTGGAGTCTCTGTGAAGCCCTGAGATACCATAACCTGAATTTGAAGCCGTGCTTGCTGGAGGTAGAAAGCGTAGGGTTCCAGGGTTTCGGGTCGAGGGTTTAGGGTTGAGAGGCCTGAGTCCTCAAACCCCCTCAGAATCTACTCGCTTTTCAGCGAGGTCGTCCTGGCAAACATTTCGGTGCTGCTTCCGCTGCTGGACGTGGATTGCTATCCCATCCGCCAGGCCGAGCTGGGATCCAGTGCCAAGAGTCCCAGTAGTCATTGAGTGCTGTGCGGTGTGTTTTAGGCTACTGCCGGGGTTCAGAGAGATGTTTCTTTCTTCCAGAGCCATCACCTGCTGATCTGAAGGTTCTTTCCGAAGTCATAGCAATCCTTTGATCGTCTTTCCAAAGTCATAGCAACCCTTACGGCTATTAGCGCATTTGGCTAGTGTGTGTGTGTGCGGAACTATCAGCTACCCCCCAACATTGAATACCCAGCTATCTATCGATCCATCCACCTTGTTTGGCCCCGTGGTCTTCTTTTTTTTCCTTGCGGTGCGAGGCTTCGAGTGTTTTCAAAGTAGGGTTTAGGTGGGGGATTAGGGTTTCAGATGTTTAGGTGCGGTTAGGTCGGGCTTGGCTAGGCTGAGGTGTCTTAAGTAGTTGGAATGCGGCGTGTATTTGGCCCCTGCAAATCTTCGTTGTTTTTTGTTTTTTGTGTTTTAGCTTGGTATTTGCGACAGTTCCTTCACTTTTCCTAGCACGTGATTTTGACCTGCATCTTACACTTCTGTCTTTTTTCCCTTCCTGATTTCTTGACTGTATGTGTCCGTTTCCCTGGGTTTTTGCATGTTTCGCACTTTGATTTTCGCTTTCAGGCTTGGTTTTGGTAGTTCTTCGTGTTTTTTAGCGGTTTCGACTTCGTGTTTTCTCCCATCGTCTTAAAGCCTCGCCACAGAGGAAGCCGACAAGGACGCATTCCTTGCATTTAGAGAAGTGGCTAGATCGGTACGAGGTGCACAAGACCTAAACCATAAGCCTGAATCCTGAACCCCGAAGTGTAAGCCCTATACCGGAAACCGGAATCCCAACCCCAATAGCCCCTAATCCTAAACCCAAGCCCTAAACCCTAAACCCTAAACCCTGAACCCTAAACCCTAAACCCTAAACCCTAAACCCTAAACCCTAAACCCCGAACCTTGATCCTAAACCCTAAATAGCCCCCACATCTCAAGCCCAGCATCACGAAGGCCATCGTCGAGAGCATCGGCCACCTCCTGTCCGCAGAAGGTCTGTTCCGTGCTTAGGGTTCAGGGACTTAAGGGTTAAGGGTTTAGGTTTAGGGGTAAGATTCAGGCAGGCAGGTTTTGGGTAGGATGCATCATAGAACTGTTGCAGATCTGGCACATGGCGTAGTTTAGTGGGTGCATTCGTGGTGAAGAGTTACATGGGAGGTTTCCAAAAATTGTAATTACCTTAAGGGAATCCTGCTATTTGTGGGTCTATATTAGGGGTCCTTTATTTGCGTAGACTCCCACATCTGCTCGTATAAAGGACCTTGAAAGCCTAAACCCCAAAGCCCATCAGGCCGCAAGCTACCAAGCGGGGCCCACAGCGTCCAGCCAGCTGCGGATGAGACGGAAGAGGCGCAGGAGGAGCTGGGGCGGGAGCCTAGGGTTTGGGGAGTGTAGGCGTGTCTATTTTAGGAACTTGGGGTTGAGTAAGTAAGAGTTGAGGACTTAGGAAAATGTCAGGGGGCGGAGGAGGTTTTGGAGAAAGGGGCTCAACATCTTTTGGAGCACGTCTTTTGGTGCCTGAGTAGCATCTCGCTGTGATGATGGCAGGCAGTAGTATCCGTGTGCTGATCCTTCTTGCTCTTGCGCTGTTGTTTTGGAGCTTGTTGAGCAGCATGCTGTGAGTAGCATGGTATCAAGACCGAAGGCTGCTTGCGAGTCTCAAGTGCATGTCAGGTGATGTTTCTTGCGATGCCAAGTTCAGAAGACCCTCTGCCTGTGTGAGGAAGTGGTGCAGAGCAATAGTGGCACATTTGCCCTGGCTCCTGCGACGAAGACGGACTTGCCACTTGTCTTCGCCAGAGCATGTTTCTTGAGGTTCCGTGTTTGAGTCTGCTACCATATTTCCACTCTCAGCATAACAGACAGGTTGGAGACGCTCTTCACGCGCTCTTTGGACAAGAGCGTTTGGGTCCGATACCGCGTTTTGCAGACCTTGACGGGTCTGGCTTCGAACTCACGTTTGCCCAGGCCTTTGCGTGCCTGTGTGCATGTATGCTCATCGTAGGGACTGCAAGAATGCCATCATCTGCCATAGACTGTCCACTTCTGCATTTTTTCTAAGCGAAGCCTCACAAAATGCAGAGATGTTTCTTGCTTTGACTTGCAGGGAGCAGTGGCCGCGGGTGCTTGATCTGGCCATCCGTCGTATGCAAGACACGGCGGCCCGGTCTGCGTTTTAGAACACCCCCCGCCCCACCCCCATTCTCTTCTGAAGCTCCTTCCTGATGCTTAAGTTTTGTGGGCAGAAGTTTTCTCAAGGGCACAAGGTTGAAGTAGTTGGAGCGCGGCGCGTATCTCGCCGCGTGGTTTCCTTCGGTTTCTTGGGTGGGGTGGCTGGGGGGGGGTGGGGGGGGGGGGGATAATTCCGCCCCCCCTATTGCAACTTGCCAGCATGTCCTCAGTCATTTAGTGCTCCAGTTTGCAGGGTTTGGGGCTTGGAGTTTAGCCTTGATGTTGGGCTTCGGGGTTTAGGCCTCTGGCAACTCTGCAGATGCTAAGACTTAAACCGTAGCCCTCCGACTTGCTAAATCCGCCCTATGGGCTTGGGGGGGGTTAGGGTTTAGGGTTTAGGGTGTATAGGGCTTAGGGGGTTTACGGGTACTTACGGCTCTGCTTTGTCCCAGGGTTTAGGGCTAGGACTGAGGATTGAGGATGTGGGGCTTAGGGTCGAGGTCTCTGGGTTTGAGGTTCTGCGTTGAGGTTTTCCCAAAACCTGATTCCGGAAATCCTACTGCCCCAGAATCCTCAAGCAACTTTTCCTATAAAGCCCTACACCTTAAAACATCCCTAAGCCCCTAAACTCTAAACCCCTGAAAGCCCTAAAATCCTTGAAAACGGAAAGTAGTTTTAGGCATTTCAGAACTCCTTAAAGGGAGTGAATTCCCTAGGCGAAAACACTAAAATACGTGTTTCCCCCTTAGAGTGCCGTTTATAACGCGCTCCCACCTCTCAGGACGCCGAGTACCTTGTAAATAGCACCATTTTTTGCAAATTCCAGCCATCTTAACTTTCAATCTCTGCACGAAAACGCACGGCGAGATGTGCGCCGCGCACCAAGTAGTTTGGAGTTCCCTGGGCCGCCCAGGCAAGCATGTCCAGGAAGGCGGCCATGCAGTTGGTGCGCACTTTGGTGGAGTTTCATCCCTACGGCCCCGCCTTGAAGGGAACCGGCGATGAGCGGGTGAAGGCGGAGAAGCTGCTCACCGAAATCCATGACCGGCTGAAGAAGCTCAAGGCCGAGGAGCTCGCCGAGCTGGAGGGCAGGGAGCAAGAGGAGGAGGCAAACGAGGAGGCGCAGGAGCAGCCGGAGAAGCGGCGTCGCGTGAAGGGCAAGACGGAGACGGAGGTGAGCATCGCAAAGGAGGTAGACAAGGACCTGTCCACAGAGATCAGCTCCGACGACGCGCGCCAGGAGTCCCGCCAGAAGCAGCGTGAGGCCCTGCTCCGGATGCAGGAGTGCTACGCGCAGAGGGTCCAGTTCGTGGAGTTGCTCGACTCGGCGGAGACACGGCTGCGTAGCCTGCTGTCCTCCAAGACGCCGACAGACGTCACAGAGGCCATCGGCGTGGTCGTGGAGCTGCGTCTACGCGGCGTTCCTGCCGCGGCCCGGGCCTTCCATCAGGTGCTGGGCCTTGTCTGGAGCCGCCACGCCCCCATCAAGGACGCTGCTGTGGACGCCTTCTACCGTATGCATCTGGAAGGCCGGGATGCGGCCTCGGCTGCGATGGCCATACTGAACATCTACAAGGATGGCCATGCTGCCGGCAGCCTTACGCACACGCACCTTGCCAGCGTGCAGGAGCTCATCCAGCAAGGAGCGGACAAGGAGCTGGTCTCCACCCGGGAGGTGATGCCGACGCTGCTGGCATCACTCAGCGAGCCCTCGATGTCGGCCTTCGCCCTGCGGGCCATGACGGCGCTGGTCCCCTCTTCGGCGGGGCACGCCGCGATCTCCGCGGCACTGCCCAAGCTCAAGGAGTTCACCGCGCAGCACAAGCCGGCCTCTGCGGAGGATCGCCTGGAGAGCCTGCGGCTTGTGTGCCAGCTCCTCATGCGGTTTCAGGCCTCCAGCAAGAACCCCCTGCCCGAGCCAATCTGCGCCGCCTTGCACGACATCTCCCAGCAGGCCTTGAGCGTTTGTGTGTGGGGAGGCTGCAGAATATTCTCGCAAATCTTGGGAGCCCAGTGGCACCCCTTACCCTTGTTTTGGTTCTGGGTTCCCTTATAAAGTAACCAACCCAAAAAGGGGTGCCCCTATTATATGATATGTTCCCTAAGGGCTACCAAGAAATCGAAGGTAGGAAGAGTCGACCAGGCCTTGCTCATTGTGGTGCAGCACTTCGTCAGCGGCGAGGTTCCAGCCCACTGGTTCGGCGCTGCGCAGGCCGCTAGCCTGGACTCAACATCCCCTTTGCCTTCATAGGGCCTTAAAGAGTCTCCGGAACCCTGAACCCTAAACCCTAAACCCTAAACCCTAAACCCTAAACCCTAAACCCTAAACCCTAAACCCTGCACCCTAAACCCTAAACCCTAAACCCTAAACTTCTCAAGTCTGAATCCTATAGTCCCAGCGAAGGCTACCATGGACCTGTCCTTCGAGCTGGCAGCCCTGGGCAAGAGCGCGGTGGACGCCGCCCACCGCTCCCCTGACAAGGCGGGGGGGGGGGGGGAAACTCGGGTTTAGGGTTTAGGGTTAACCATCGAAAGCCCTAGCTAAACATGTTTGGGTTCCGGGTATGTCCTTATGTTGCTTTGGGAGGTGCTTGATGAAGTCCTTCTTTATGCAGGATTTTGGAGTGTTAGATGGTGTGGCCCGACGGGGCTGCCTACTACAGACGAAGAAGCTTCCTTAGGAATATTCGCAACGCCGCTCGTCTAGTTGGTAGGGCCCTATGGCAGCAAGAGCCTTGCTCTTGCGGAAGCCCCCACCGGTTTGAACCCAACACGTGTAGCCCTGATCCCCAAAACCTAAGAATGCCAAAAGCCCGAAACAAAAACCCGAAACAAAAACCCCCAAAGCCCAAAAACCTAAAGAACCCTCAAGCACCTGAAAAAAACTCCCAAACGCCCTGACAACTCCCGAAAACCCTAAACCTCCAAGCCCTCGGATGTCTGGGTGCCAAGAGCTTGAGTTCCAAGCCCCGGGGCCCTGTAGGGATGCTTCATTCATGTCTTCCCTGGTTTGAGGCCGGTCAGATGTAGGGTCAAGGGTGTTTGGTGAAGGCTAGGAACCCTAAAGGCCTTTTGAAATGTTCAGGTCTGGGAGAACATCCTGAACCGGATGCTCTGCGGGCTACTGGGAGGTGGGTGTTTCGGGTTGAGGGTTTCGGGTTTAGGGTTATCTTGAAGCTCCAAGCCCCTGAACCCCAAACTCTGAACCCCGCAGATCCTAAACTCTAGGCCTCTGCTGGCTTGGGGTTGAGGAATTTTAAGCCGGTTGGTCAAGCTTACTTTGTTCTTTCCGAAGCTACCTGTTTTGTGGGGCCCTTTCCAAGCTATAATCCAGGTCGCTGCGAAAGGATCCTAAAACAAGTAGGTTCTGGAAAGTCAAGGAAAGCCCTAGACCTTAGCTGCCGATGGGCAGGCTCGCAGAGTTCCGTCCGGGGCTCAGCGGGGGAGTCTGTGCATGCGGGGGCTACGTCAAGTTTACTACCAATTGCTTAAGAACCCCCAAAAAAGAAAACAAATTCTTCCTTATAAGGGCAATATAGGGACTTTTTTGTATATTTTTGGGGGTTCTTAAGCAGATGGTAGTTTAGGGCAATATCATGCCCAAGTCAGTACCCTCACAGCCTTGTCAGCCCTGTAAACACTCGTAAATCGCAACGCCTTAACGTGAAACCCTGCAAGGCCGAAACCCTGTCAGTCCAAGAAAAGAACATCAAACTAAGCACCCGAACCTTAAAGCCCTAAACCCTTAATCGCTAAAAAGCCTGATGTTCTAAACCCTGACAGCCGTACACCCTAAACCCCAAAAGGCCCAGGTGCTCGAAAGCTAGAATACCCGAATCTATTTCAAGCTAAACAAGATGGACCAAGATCCTGCAAAATAATTCAAAAGGCAGCAACATTCAACGAAACCTCTACACCTCTAACCCAAAGCCATAAGAATCATAATAATTATAATTCGAATAAGAATAAGAAATAATAATCATCATGTACAGCAGAGGCCTCCGAGTCTGAGTCTTCAGAGGCGAAAGCAGAGGCGGCGGACGAAGGGGCGGGGGTTAGGGTGTAGGGTCTCTAGGGTGTTAAGCTGAGGTTGGACAAGGTTGTTTTTAAAAGTGTTTTCGTAGGGTTCAAGTGGGTCGTTAAGGGTTTCAAAAGGGTTCTACTCGAATGACAAAGGATTCGTAGGGTTTTAGGGTATGAGAGTTTGGTGTTGAGGGGGTTCGCGGCTGAGGGTTTGGAGGTTTTCTTTCAAGGTTTCGGGGTCGCTCACAAAGCTGGAAGCCCCCTGCACAGGTTCGCCAGGTGTCTGTGCCGCAGCTGGGCTGCGTGGCTTTCGTTGCCGGCCATTTGGCGCTGAGGCATGGCAAGGGGTTTCGGTGGGGCGTCGCCACCTTGTATTCTATAATAATCATATTAAAAATAACAATAATAATCAGAATAAGAATAATAATGATTAATAATAACAATAATAATAATAACAATAATAGTAATATTGTACGTACTCGGGCTGTGTCTCCATGCAGTGCTCAGACCGTGGCCCTTTGTGTCGGTCGAAGCCCGCCCTCCCTCGCTGGGACCTGAACCCTCGCACCGGACCCTTCAAAATTCTGAACGCCACCGAAGCAACAGCGCGGCAGGATGCTCATCTTCCTCGAGGGCCTGCAGTCTGCACTGAAGAGGCTCGGGTCTCTCCGACTGTAGGGTGAGTACAGACTCTCAAGCCCTTTCAAGCAGGAAGCGCTTGGCGCAAGAGGAGGCCAAGATCGCGGAACAGCGCGAGAAGAGCAAGGAGAAGAAGGCGGAGTCAGCTCAGAAGTGCTTTCCTGGCTCAGGAGGGCCTAGCAGTGAAGACCACTAGACCACCCACAGAAAACCAGGTTTTCTAAGGTTTTTCTCGAAAAAAACCCACTAAAATCAACAGAACAGAGGCTGTCTCTTCGATTTTGATGGGTTTTTCAGGAAAAACCAATAGAGACTTGTGCTTGCCGTGGGCCTCCTGTTCTGTACTTGGAGGTTCAAGGAGAAAATGTATGTATATACACAGCATTATATGATCAATATCTTTATGTAGTATAATATGTGCATATATATGTATATATGTATATATGTATATATGTATATATGTATATATGTATATATGTATATATGTATATATGTATATATGTTTTTATGTATATATGTATTTTTCTGTATATGTATTTATTTTTTATGTTTGTATGTATATATGTATATGTGTATGTGTGTATGTATGTATGTATGTATGTATGTATGTTTGTTTGTTTGTTAGTATGTATGTATGTATGTATGTCTGTATGTATGTATGTATGTATGTATGTATGTATGTATGTATGTATGTATGTATGTATGTAATTGCGAGTCTCTCACGCGCAGATTTCATGTATGTAGGCATGCAATATCATCTGAATATGTACATATATATAGACGCATGCACATAGATATTGTCGTTTTCAGACCTGCGCAAGGCTGGAGGGAAGAAGGGCAAGGCCAACAAGGCAGACGAGGATGAGGACGGACTGCGAGAGTAGCTTTTCCATCTTCGGGCAGTCGACGGGGTTCAGTTCGAGCTTGCAGCGTTCAGACCTGTGACCCTCGATCCCAAGGTTTCCAATCCTGAATCCCAGGAGATGTGAGAATATGTTTTTCCGAGCTGCAGACTTCCCCTTACAACCCAAAACCTTCATCACGATGACTCGTGCCGACTGTTAATAGTTTTGCTGGGCCAAAAGGAGAAGCACACTGAGGCCCGCCGGCTGCCATTCTTTAGGGTTCGGGTTCAAGGTTTTGGGGTTCAAGTACAGGTAAACTGAACTGCATGGGGGAGCCTCGAATGTTTCTGTTGCGCCTTACTGCCATGCGGCGACTGGGGTTTAGGGTTTAGGGTTTAGGGTTTAGGGAGGAACGATACTAGTGCTGAAACAATTCTGCAGTTTTCCGTTGACAGAACCCAGTAGTCGTGCACCTAGGACGGCTGGCAGAGCAGTTCAGCACACTGGCCTCAGTGCTTAGCAAACCCTGAAGCCTTGCACGCAGAATGATAGTGATATGAATAGTATGATAGCTTTTAGTACTCATAAGAATAATTTTATTCACAATATCCAAGGTGAGAATCATATTGACACATGTGTTCGTGTAAATATATATATATATACATATATACATATACATATATGTATATATATATATATATATATATTTATGTATATTCATATTTATATTTATATTTATATTTATATTTATATTTATATATTTATGTACATCCTTCAACTTCCCGACTGAAGCCAACCTCCATGCCACAAAGCCGAAGTCTTGGATGCAGGGTGAGGGCTCGTGAGGGCTGACCTGAGTTTCCGGTGGTCGATGGGTTCAGAACGAGGGTTCAGGCTTCGGGTCTCAGGGTCACAGTTTAGGGTTTAGGGTTTAAGGGTTTAGGGTTTAGGATTTAGGGTTTAGGAGGGGTGTGTGGCTCCAGGCGAGCATGGGCGGCGTCGGGCAGGAGGAGCGCGAAGCGGAGGCGCTGCGAGTAAGGGGATCTGGAGGTCAGAGAACAGCTGAGTACGCTGACACCTATACCTGAGTACCCTGACACCTATACTATGAACCCTTGCACTCTACTGCGCGGAGGGGGTGGTGCGGTGTGGGTGCAGGCGCAAAAGTTAGGGGGCGTTCTTGGAGGTTCATGGGTAGTTATAAGTAGGGTAAGGGTATAAGCATGGTTACCCTGCTTGACACCAAGTAAACGACCCGAATGAACCTCCAAGTAGGCTTCTGCTTGTTGAGTTCACTGGTTGCCTTCAAGGCTTTTGCCCAACTTGCAGAAAATGGGCTGCTCTACAGCACCAATCGCCTGCTGGACCGTGCCCCCTGGCGGGCATATGGATATTTCCCAGAACAAAGGTGTGTTTTTTTCTACTCCCCGATATTCGGAAACCCCCCATATCTTCCCTCAGGTGCACCCCCAGAAGTATTCCATGCATGAGAGGCGCTTCAAGCCACTTCCTGTTGCTTGGGTTCTCAACCAAAGGAAGCTAAAGTCAGCCCAGGGGATGAATGTTTAGTGGCTTCTGGGCTCATGCGAGAAGGCAGCACCAGAGTGGCGTGCGCGGATGTCTAAAGGGCCAGGCCCTGAAGATGGTCCTTGCCTGCCGAGGTGAAGCCGCTGCTGTTTGCCTGCCTCCTCAACAAGGACCTTCGCACGTACCCGTTGATACGGAGGGTGGGGGCCATCAGCCTCTGCAAGTTCATGACCGCGCCTTTGCGGCAGCCAGACTCTTAAGATCCGAGACCTTTAGCCCCTAAGCCGTTCCGTGTGTGAACTCTGCACACAGAGTGCAGACAATTCCGGCATGCGTGTCGACGACGTAAAACCTAAGCCGTCTGAGAAACACTGATCTTCGGGTGACATGCCCAGTGTATCAAGGACCCTCACGACGTAGTGCAGCGAGCCAAACTATGGCATAGCCTGCCCTGACCCCAAGACCCTACCAAGCCTGAACCCTAAACTCTATCAAGTCTCAACCCTAAACCTTACAGTGCCCTCAACCCCTTACCCTATCTTGCCTTATATCTTGAACCCTAAACTCTATGAAGCCTCAACCCTTTACCCTGCCTTGCCTTATATCTTGAACCCCTAAACTCTATCAAGCCTCAACCCTATACCCTTATCTTGCCTCATGTCCTGAGCCTGAAGTCGCAGAGTCACCGCCTGCTTGCCGAGGTGTCGAAGCGCTTCTGCCAGGACCCAGACCCTCAACTCTCAGCCCTCAAACCTAGCACTTAAAGCTTAAAGGGCTTAGGGACCAAGTTAGGGGGTGAGGACTCAGCTTGCGTAAAGAGGATGCGGGATTTGGGGTTTAGGCTCCAGGGTTTATGGGGGGATGAGATGGGGCTTGGGCGGGGGTGGGGTCATCGTCTCAACAAGTTCAAGCTTCGAGTTTTGGGGGTTTAAGGCCGAGGTTGCTTTTTGGGGGGATGTCCCAGCAACACATTGAACTGCAACCCCCCTCCCTTCCCCCCGCTTCCCCCTACCGCACCCCCTAACATCGCGTAAGCTATTCCCAAGACAAACGAGGGGAGTGCTGAACGTTTGCAGGGGCTTGAGGGGGGAGGGATCTACCCTTCTCCCCTGGCTCTTACTTGGTACCCTACACAATCCCTTAACGTGTATATATAGTCCCTCACTCCCTACTCAGAACCAGCAGGGTAGCAAGGTTGCACCTTCTTCCGCTAGAAAGCAGGAGAACTTGCAGCTGCTGTTCTCGGTGCTCTTCCCCAAGTCGGGCAAGGGCCAGCTCACAGGGGCCGCTCCTGAGGCGGGAAAGGTTTTTTTTTTTGGGTTTAGGGTTCAGGGGTTTAGGGGTTTAGGGGTTTAGGGGTTTGGGGGTTTAGGGGTTTAGGGGTTTAGGGGTTTAGGGGTTTAGGGGTTTAGGGTAACAACATCGTAATATACAAAATATAAAACATAGCAGTATATTCATATAAGAATGCGGAGCCAAGACTGCCCATGAGCGCTGCAAGCCGATAAGCCCCCCCACGAGCCCTCTAAGCCACGTAAGCTTGCAAGCCCTGCAAGATCTACAAGCTTTCACACCCGAAAACAAGAAGCACCTCTTGACCCCCAAAACCCGTCAACCCTGAATGTTGGGGGTGGGAGGTGGGGGGGAGGGGCCTTGCTCACGGATGTCAAGTACTGCACCGCTCTTTTCTAAAGCCCGAGGCGCCGGTTCGGGACCATGACTTCTGATGATAGAACTGCCAGTGCTTGGGGTGACCATGTTGGGCTCTGCGTCCCATGACATCATGACTTCCTGGTCGCCAGGATGCCGTCATGGGCCCTGGCGGGCTTTTGGAGGAGAGGGCGCAAGGGGAGGTTCATTGGCCGGCGAGCCCCAGAGTCTGGGGGCTTGGTTTCAGGTTTGGGTTTGAAGCCTTTTGTGGTTTCGGGCTTGGTTTCAGGTTTGGGTTTGAAGCCTTTTGTGGGTGCCAGAGTGTTGGGGGAGGGTGTGTTATAAGGTAGAGGTTGGGTGGGGTTTAGGGCAAGCTTAGGGTTTGGGATGTCTTTGTACGGAGAAGAGTGTGGGCCCCGAACCCTAAACCCTAGATGCTAACTTCTAAATCCTCGAAGCCCTAAAGCCCTGAACCCTAAACCCTAAACTCCAAACGCTAGAATGGGGGTATGCGCGGGATTCCCAAACATTACAACTCCCGTAAAAAGGCAACCGAAGACTGCAGAAATCCTTGAGTTCATAGAGTTCAGGTTTCAGGGTTCAGGGTTTAGGGTTGAGGATTGAGGGCGGGTTTCTGCCTAGGGAGGGCCTCCATGGCCTTCCGGCCCCGAGCAGGGACCCCATATTTTGAAGTACCCTCTTTCATGATGTAAGGGGGCCTCTGCAGGACCTCACCTTGCGACAGTCCCTGTTGGTGGCCGTTGGTGATCTTCTTTTCCGACATCCCAACGTGGTGGAGCCATGGACTCTCGGCTGCCTGAAGCCTAGGCGAGGTAGGTTGTGGAACATCAGTTTTTTTACTCATTTTTTTTTCGCCAGCAGCCAAGGACGGGCCGCCTTTACGCCACCTTGACTTCGACAGTTGAGAGCACTGAGGAGAGCGGTCAGAGTGCCTGCGATCTGCGACTGACGGCGCTGTTGGTCCTGACGCACCTGGTCCTCAACGACATGATGAAGCCCCGGCCAGTGCTGCTGATTCGGGCACTCTGGCTCACAGCCTGCAGCCACGAGGCCACAGCCCGGGTTGCTCGGATCCTTTTCCAGGAGCTCTCCAAGCGCAGCACCAATGTGGTCTACAACCTGCTTCCTGAGATCGTGGCCCGGCTTCCCGAGCACGTCGCCGAGGTTGGCGTTGAGGGTGGGGCCACTGGGCGTGTGCAGTACATCATGCAGTTTGTCGAGAAGGAGAAGCACATCGAGGGCCTCATCGAGAAGTTCTCCTTACGGCTGGAGCAGTGCGCTGGTGGTTCTGGCAGCCACACGGAACCAACTGCGACCCAGGCAGAGCCAGAAATGGACGCAGAGGACGTGGGCCCCGTGCGGGTAGAGGACACCATCTCCTGCCTGGCGCATGCTCTTGGAGCCATGAACTACTCCGATCGATGCATCCTGCGCCTGCATGATGTCATCGTGGTGCGGAAGGCGCTAAACCTCAGCTTGTCTTACCACGCCGTGGTCAGAGAGTGCATCCTCGGAGTCGTGGAAAAGGCCCGCAAGCCCCGGCAGGGCAAGGAGAAGGGTGAGAGCGCACCCGCTGAGCCCGATGCCGCCGCTCCCGAAACTGGCGGCGCCAAGGGTGCAAGTGCTGCGGCTGCAGCTGCGCTGGATGCCCTGGAGCAGCTGATCAACACCCTGGCTCACGGAAAGGACGAGTCCAAGGAAGAGGCCCCAGCCATTGCCGTCCGCAAGCCGGGCAACGCCCCTGCCAAGAAGAAGCAGGACGCCAATGCCGAGCCGGGCTTCGAGCCTGAGAAAAAGGAGAGAAGTGGCAAAGGCCGTGGCAAGGGCCGTGGCAAGGCTCGATCTGCCGGAAAGGAAAACCTTCCCACAAATGCTCCGAACCTTTGTCATAGTTGGGTACCATTTTACACTTTTAAGGGTACTTATACTCAACAGGGAATATAAATGTAAGTTTTTAATATTATACCAACCATGAACTAGGAACAAGGGCGGCCGGAAGCGCAAGGCTGACAAGAGGGCGGACGACGACGACGAGGATTACGAGTGAGGTCTGACTTCGTAATTCGGTTCTCCCGCATGCTGGGAGGATGACGCGAGCAGTGCAGCGCGCACTCAATTGTACGATATAGCCTCCAAGAGACGCGATACTTTATCGAGCCTTGGGACCCTGGGATCAAGATCAGTCAAGTTGCCGATGTTGGGAGTACCTTATTGGGGTCCTGATGATACAGGAATCTTGCCGTTAGGGGGTCCATTTAGGCCCTACTTTCGTAAGCCACCATATGGAGTTTAAGGAGTTGAATCAGGGCCTGAGAGGGGAAGCGCTCCTGGCTCTGCTACAGCCGCACGTTTCACTTCTTCAAGTCTGCCAATTAGAGCTGTCAAAGAATGTTTTGACTGTGGGGTAAGTCAGCGGGGAAGTCGGCACGAACCCGAGTTGCGCCGGAAAAAAAGCTGCAGAAAGCCATTGCAAGGGGCAGGGTGGGGTAGGGTGGGGTCGGGGGGGCGGGGAGGGGAGGAAGGGGAGGGTAGGGGTTGCACTCAGTTCCGCTTCCTGCATGAA